GTTGTTTTTAATTATAAGAAAAAGTAAATAAAAAAAAGTTTATAAAAAACTTAAATTTGAAACTTTTGATATTTTACTGTTTAAGATCTTTTTAAGGGTAAAAAAAATTTTAAAATATAAATTTTTAAGAGAAAAATTTTAACTTATAAATTTTTAAAAGAAAAATTTTAACTTATAAGATATGAATAATAGTAAAAAACTAAAAAAATTGAAAAACTGCACCAAATACACCCTAATAAACTACAGTATTTGCTGCCCGGCCCCAATCGCAAGGCTGATGTCACATGGCTCATCACACGCGTCAGTCCTTGCAGTCACGTGGCACTGACTCGAAGTGCAGGTGTGTAATGCACACGTTGGCTCTCCGACTGCATGTGACTTTGAAATGACTACAACGACCCTGACATTTGACCCTGAATTGCCTGATTAGACGCCATCACTGAGTAGCACTTAGATATATGAATGAGGGTATTTTCGTCAATAAATGGCCACGTGTCGCATGCCTTAGCCTGTTCAGAGAAAGATTTAAGTGCAAGTGGAGGCTGAAAATTTTTGGGATCTTTGTATAAGCTGTCGTCGATGTAAGCCGTCAGATCATCCTCAGAAGAAACATCACAACTCGAACTCCAAAGGTAATCTGACGGCCGAAGATGGGGAAAGGGAGTGTACTATTGACTTTTTGATGAAGCTGGCGAGCTACTTTGATTTGCAAGGTTAGTTTTTTTACTGCATTGTTGGCACAAACATCGTGTGTTTTGGGTTCGTGATACATTATCCATTATACACAAAACGACCCATCGTGTATTTTTTTGTGTGTTCTACAAAACTAGGTCATATATTATAAAATAATATTTTGTTATTAATGAATGTTGTTGTCAACCAATGATTTATGTAGTTTACCTATTTCATTTTAGGTTAAATAGTGAAACACATTCCTTTTTCATTCTTTAACCAAGCCACCTCTTCATTACTTATTTTCAAAAAAAAAAAATAATAATAATAACCAAGCCACCTCACCCAATTTATTTACATACTTAATGACGCAAGAAATGTATATTGATATATGTTCGTCCTGCTGACTGAAGAAAGAAATTCATTGCATGTGGTGATGTGGATAAGGATGGAGACAGGCCTCCACATCTCCGCTATCGGAATTTTAGGGGACGAGGGTCTTTGTGGGGGACTTTGATAGACAAAGAATTTGCCTCCCGGCTGTATTACTTGCGGTGGATACGGGTTCTCGCGGGGTTTCCTTGTCTCCTGTAATCTATTTTATAGAATTAATTTAATCATTTTTATTTATTATTTTAAAACAAAATATTTTAAATTAAAGTGTGTGTTTGTTTAAGGCCAAAAAAATGTGTTAAGTTGGGTTTTGTTTAAAATAATTAAATTT